AACACCCACAACACGATTTTCCACATCCGACATCTGCAGCATTCGCATCAGACGGTGTCAAAGTTGGTGACATACCATACCGGGGTGAAAATACGGAGGCTTCTTGAACTTGGTATGTTGGAGTCTTGACACCCCCGAAAGCGAGCATCACGATGCATCATGCCCGAGATCTTGGGACAGGAAACGAGGGATGGAAAGTGCCGAGGTGCCCCTCCCCTCCCCTCCCCTCCCCTCCCCTCCTCCTCTCCCTGCCGCCAGCCACCTGCAATTCTTAAGGTACAGAAACGCATGATCCAAAACAAATGGAAAGCAGGCTGCGGAAGGGCCAGCAATCATGAGATCAAAGATATCGTATCGAGGATTCATCAAGTTCTACCCTGCTGCAACATCAAGCGCATGCAGCACACTCTGGGGCAAGCACGCTCTTCCTCATCCCGCTGCCTCGGTCACCAGATTTCCACACTGATCTCCACAGGCTGCAGCATGTGCTTGCGCTTGGCGCTTGCGCTCAGGCAAAGACAACACAACTTTTTGGCACAGTAGTCAGAGTCAGATGCCGTGTCAAGTCAAGTCAAGTCAGCGCAGCTGTCTGAACCTACACGAAGCAGATATTCGCTTCACTTTAAACTATTGGTGAGCTCTGTGTGAGCATCTCACTGACAATTGCGGGCAGCCCTGAAGCCAGTTTCACAGATTCGCTCTTAGCGGTCTGGATCGTCAAAGTCTGGCATTCCGTCCACTGTGGGCTCGCCTCCAATCTCGTCGATGATTTCCTGATGCCTCACATCCAGCGGCGTCTCCCGCTCATGCTGCTTCTCCGCCTCTTGCTCTTGCCGTTCGCGCTCCTCGCGCTCATGCTGCTCCTTCTGGATGGCCTCCTGCTCGCATGCCTCCCGCGCGGACTGGGGCATCTTCGGGCACTGCGGGTAGCGGTCCACCTCGGGCTGGGGAGCCGGAGCCGGAGCCGGGTGGGATTCGTGCTGGGGAGGAGCCGGGGCCGGCTGCGCATCGGGCACGACCGGGATGATGAACTCGGTGGTGGTCGCGGTCGTCTCGGGCTCGATGGGCTCTTGAGGCGGGATGATGACAGGCCCGGGCCCCATATCTGGGATAGCTGGGATTTCTGGAATCTGTGGTGGGATCACAGGCTCGGGCTCAGGCTGGAGGGGTGGTGCTGGAGATGCGGAGTCCATGCAAGGCTCTGGACATTTGTCAGGGCGCTTTGCGTGGATGCTGGCCTGGAACTCCGCATCGGAGGAGGAAGGTGAAAGGCCAGGATACCAGGATGAATGTTGGCGGATTCCAGTGTTCTTTGCCCACATGATATCATTGTAGCAGGACTCGCCCTTCTGGGCGGTGTGGCATCCTGCTGTTTTTGCACACGGCAACGAACATTTGTTCGGCGAATGAGTATGGACGATTTCCTGGAAGTCTGCATTGCTGGAGGAGGCCGTTAGCCCTGGATACCAGTGGGGATGCTGGCGAATGCCTGTGTGCTTTGCCCACATGATGTCCTTGTAGCAGGCGTCGCCCGGCACTGCATCGTGGCAGCTGTCTTCCGAACGCAGGCTGACTCGGCTCTGCAACGCATTCACTGCGCAAGAGGAGTCAGAGCACTCGTCGTCCTGCCCAAGGGGCTCATTTGCTGGAGCGCTCAGCGCGCAGGCGCTGGCGCAGCAGACTAGCAAGAGTCTAAACATCGCTTTCTCCGGTTGCTCAAAAGGGAGAATGAATGGGACAGCCTTCATCTGAGCCGGAAAATTCAGAGAACTTGATGGAATAAGCTTTTGCGTGCAGAGGAGACATCAGACTCACACCACAGGCATTGCGGAACGATTCGTGGTATGAGATGCGGTTCCATGTCTCTGCAGCACCAAAACTGCACTGAGTCAGCGACGCTCGTTCTGCCTCCTGCTGCTCCTGCAGAGCGAAAGCACAGGACATCTTCCCCAGTCCCCCAACGCAAAGGAACAAGACCTTGGTAGGCGCGGGCTCTGCGAGTTTGGTCACCACCTGGCCGGTTGCTTTGCTTCTGACTAGCTTGAACATCCAGCAACATCAGCCTCAGCAGCAGCAGCAGCAGCGAACAGCCAAACTACGCACGGCGGAGGCACTCGAAGATGCTCCACGCAGCCCGCACCCTATCTGCATCCTATCTGCACTCCGCCTGCTCCACGTCGGCCCCAGCCATCAGTGCCTGGAGGTGTTTTTCCAAGTCCTCCTCACGCGGTCTACCGGTCTACTTGGAGTGAAGAGACTCTTTGGGGATACAAAGAGACCCGAAGCACAATGCTTCCAGAGGTGGTGCTGGGCAAAAAACATGCGAGTGTTTCTCGGGCTTTGGGAATGTACGTGGAAGCACGACTTGGCAGCAGCTACTACTGCAGCAAATATCCTGCGACTTCCATTGCTGACTGTTCTGTCCTGAGTGCCCGATGCACTCAGCAGGGCGTGCGGGCTCTGGGCCTTCTGAGCAGGTCAGGTGGGTGATATTGGTGCGGCTGTCGCTTCGCTACGAGGCTGCACCGAATGGCTTGACAGGGAGTACATGCGCTTTTTTCAGCAGACATCCACTATGGTTCGGGTCTTCCAGCGTGTGGCTTAACACTAATTTACGGGTGGCGAGGCGAAAAGAAGACAAGTGCAACAATGATGCAAGATGTACCCCAGAAGCCTGGTTCCTAAACAAGCATTATGTTCTGGGACATATTCCACAGGAAGTAGGAATAATTGGGACATACTCCCACAGGAAATCCACAAAAGAATCGCAAAAGAATCGAACAAACTGTGGTAGCCGTCTCCGGCCGGCCTCGCCAAGCCCTGTCAGCCGCAGATCCTCGCAAAGACCGCTCGCATTCGGTGCCCAAGTTTCTCCGCCACCGCCAAGTAATCACGACTTCGCAGGCAAAGAAGATGAAGGATCCCATCTGACATAGTACTATTTTCATTACCATTATGATTATTACTATTAGCATTATTATTATTATTGTTATTATTATTGTTATTATTCTTGTTGCTATTGAACAACCCGCGCCTCGGTCTCCCAGAGCAGGCCCCGCACCTCGGTGCCGTTGAGGGTCCAGGACATCGCCTGCTGGAAGTCGGGTACCCAAAGCGACAGTAGACCCCCGCAATGACCCGAAATTGAAGGATCCGCAAGGTTAAAGCCCTAAGCTCCAACAGGATGTGGAGACTTTGTGTCTTGGTTAAGCAGAAGCGCCACTTAAAACGCGAAAAACCCGAAAAGCGCAAAAACCGCGAGGAACAAAAACAACGCACGAAAAACGCGAAAACACAAAACTCGAATTTAACCACATCCGCTCTTTGTTCGTGGTGAGGGTGAGGCCTGGCTGAGCTAAATACCACCACATCACCGGATGATTAAATTGCGGCTGCGCCATCACCAAAACAGTAAAACTCGAGGTCGTGCAAAAGGATCTCGGTTGCACCCAGATATCACCGAAATCACCGGATGTGTCACGGGATGTCGGAGGTCTGGTTGTGCCAAGTGCCGCAAAACCCCCCCAAAGCATTCCCAAAGCGCCTGGCTCTGGTCCGACTCCACGCGCTCCAGGTGCGAAGGCATCTGCAAGCTGCGAATGTCGGGGTCTGCAAGCGATCATCTGTTTCGCGCCGGTCCTCAGCCGCCTCGGCCACCTCGAGGTCATCCGCACGTATGGACTGGACCTGTCCAGACAAGCGCGGAGCTCCATCTCTGGCCCCCATTTGCCCCCCTTCTCTCTCCTGCCTCTTTCAAGACCTGGTTCAGGAGCTTGGCCTGAGCATGTCACAGTCTCTGGCACTCTACTGCATGTCTTGTGCTTCGGCCGGGCACTGTGGATATCTTGGTTACCACACGTGCTCGGAGTCTGAACGGAGCGTGGGCGGCCTCAGTGAACGAGGAGTTGGACGCTCGACAGCCCTCCGAGTCGGAAGTTGGGCTCACGGGCTCAATGGGCTCCGCGTCTTCGCTGCGAGGCTCAGCATCTTCTGGCATGGCTTCCTGATACGACGTGCCAGGATCTTGCATGTCAAGAAAAGTGCACACGGAAGGCATGCCCAAAAATCACAAAGGGCTCTCTGCGAGGAGTAGAGCTGCTCGGAGGCACACAACATGCTGAGAAGTTGCAGCGCTGATTTGCCGAAGACAACTCCAGAGGCCGAGTTCGTCATGAGAATTTCAGGAAATCGACTGAATCCGATGCCCCGCAGGATCTCGAGGCAGAAAAATCCTCTTACAGGCTGCACGAGCGCTCGAGATCTGCAAGAGCTGTGCCGGATGGTTGATGGATTGTGTGGCGGGCCCGGCTGTTTGGCAAGCTGAGTAAAAACCGCGACACCTGGAAACCTCAAAGGGTTGTAAAAATTGTGAAGTTAGCCCTTAAACACTTGTCAAGATGTCGACCTCAAAAGCATAGGGATTGGCAACAGCGTGTCCCTCCCAGAAGGCCTCCAGCACGGAAGGTCGATGGCCATCTGAAAAGACCTGGAGTGACACTTCAATATTTCAGCACATCACACAAAACTGGCTTGTAAAACGGCTGAAGCATTTGAGGCTCTCAAGCTTTGGAGCTTTCACAGAGAAGCCTCCCTCCCGCACATGAGCTCTGAGTATCAGGCAGTGGCTTCTGTGGAAGGGATGTTCGCTACAGGAAGCCCTGCCCCACTTCCGGCATCGCTGCCTTCCTCTTGCATCTCTTGCGGTGCGTCGCATGAATCGGGAATTCCTGGCAGGCTGCTGGGCGAGTCCTGAGAGGGGATCGCAGGAACTTCCAGCAAGTGCGCACGCTGTCGACCCCAGAAAGGCGGCGACGGCATCGCACGTGTCGTCCCAAAGACAGGTCAAGGCCCGATCCTCGCAGAGCGCAAGATGTGTGCTTCTTATTTAAGGCCACCGAACTGTTCCACCAGGAAGGTTCTACCGTTCTGCCCGAGATCCAAACCCAGGTGCTTCCCAGCCGCTGCTCTCCGAAATCCTCGATACAGCTTGAACGTTTTTTTCAGAGGTAATCGGATGGCCCCAACGCCAGCTCATCATCTGGCGGTTCACACATTAAGTCACGACGACCCTGGCCAGCCTCGTCCTTCTCTGCCTCATCTTCAGCCTCAGGGATCTCACCTGATGAGAGGTTCAAGAAGAAGCAGATCCAGAATGCCCTTCAAAGACCAGTCTCCGCACTCTGTGCCAGATGAAATGGGCAAATCGCGTGTCATCCAATCGCGTCGCATCCAAGAAAAGCACATGGAAGCGAAGCTTCAAGTCGCAGCTGTGGTAGTATATGGGCTTGAACTAGTAGCAGCACCAATAGTCGTGGGCATCATAGTGGCACCAGGTGCAGAGTGCCGCCATATGCCGCACCAGGAACAGCAAACGACAGCGGCGATATCGACTACTGAACTCTTCCCACAGCCGAGCTTCATGAGACTCTTAGAATCACCACAGCTGCAATACGCGGCAAGCTCCCCGGGTCTGAGGAGCTTGAGGCCCCAACTGTAGCTCGCAGCCAAGCCTCCGAACGTGGCAAGACATGGGCAGCACAGCAAAAAGCTAAAGGAGACTCCACACAACAATGAAATCTTGTCATCGAAGACCTCCGAACGCCCCCTCAGGAGCCTGATATGGTCATGGAATTGACACGAACCTCGGTGCACATGAGCATGGATACACCATTTTGCAGCGTGTGGAGAAATTCTGCATACTTCAACACATTATGCTTCGTGGACTCTGTTCTGCAAGTCGCTGGCAACGGTACGAACTCAGCTGAGACGATTTTTGGACACGTCTGACAGGATCCGAATCGCCTGTTGACGATGATTGGCCTTATACCCAGCTTGCTGCCATCGATACGGCAAACGCTCATTTCCGCCGACCCCAGCCGGGGGCGGCATCAGTGAAGACCCATTGCCCCTACCACCTACTCCACCCCATCCAAAGCTCTGGCCCATGCTCCCACTCTCCATCCCCTTGACCTACCCCTCATGGACCCAGCTCCCTACCCCTTACCCCTCACGCACCCTGCCCCGCCGCCCATGCCCCTCATGGACCCATGGGTTCTGGCCCCACGGCTCCCCTCCGCCCTTACCTCCACCACCCACGCACCCGCTCCCCGCCCATCCGCCCTTCCCGCTCCGCATACATTCCCCTTGCCCAAGCCCCCCACGCACCCCGCCATGCTTTTCATGGACCTATGGCTCCTGGTCCTATTCTTCATCCCTTGAGCTGCTCCACCCCCACCCGCAACCCCACCCCCACCCCGCACGCACCCTGCCCCGCCGCCCGTGCTTGTCACGGGCCCCTTGCTCCTGGCGTCATGGCTCCACCCCCACCCCCAACCCCCACCCCCAACACCCCACCCTTTCCACACTTCCAACCCCCACCCCCACCACCCACGCACCCCGCCCCCCCACTGGACCCATGGCTCCTGGCCCCATTGGTGTTGGTCACATTCTTCATTACTCGACCTGCATGGCTGCCAACGCTGGTCCTATGTATGGCCCCTGCTCCACCCCAACCCCCAACCCCCACCCCCATACCGTGCCACCCCCAACCCCCAACCCCCACCCCCACCCACCCACACTTCCAACCCCTACCCCCACCCCCCACGCACCCCGCCCCCCACTGAACCCATGGCTCCTGGCCCGTGGCTTTTCAGCTGACTTTAAAGGGCCCCAGTGCACGCCCGGGCCCTCCGCCCGCTCCGCCCTCCGCCCTTCCAGCTCCGCCCACTCTCCTCTGGCCCATGCTCCCACTCTCCATCCCCTTGACCTACCCCTCATGGACCCAGCTCCCTACCCCTTACCCCTCACACCCCTCACGCACCCTGCCCCGCCGCCCATGCCTCTCATGGATTCTGGCCCCACGGCTCCCCTCCGCCCTTACCCCCACCACCCACGCACCCGCTCCCCGCCCGTGCTTGCCATGGGCCCCTTGCTCCTGGCGTCATGGCTCCACCCCCACCCCCAACCCCAACACCCCACCCTTTCCACACTTCCAACCCCCACTCCCACCACCCACGCACCCCGCCCCCCCACTGGACCCATGGCTCCTGGCCCCATTGGTGTTGGTCACATTCTTCATCCCTCGACCTGCATGGCTGCCAACGCTGGTCCTATCTATGGCCCCTGCTCCACCCCAACCCCCAACCCCCACCCCCATACCGTACGCATCCTGCCACCCCCAACCCCCAACCCCCACCCCCACCCACCCACACTTCCAACCCCTACCCCCACCCCCCACGCACCCCGCCCCCCACTGAACCCATGGCTCCTGGCCCGTGGCTTTTCAGCTGACTTCAAAGGGCCCCAGTGCATGCCCGGGCCCTCCGCCCGCTCCGCCCTCCGCGCTTCCAGCTCCGCCCACTCTCCTCTGGCCCATGCTCCCACTCTCCATCCCCTTGACCTACCTCTCATGGACCCAGCTCCCTACCCCTTACCCCTCACACCCCTCACGCACCCTGCCCCGCCGCCCATGCCCCTCATGGACCCATGGGTTCTGGCCCCACGGCTCCCCTCCGCCCTTACCCCCACCACCCACGCACCCGCTCCCCGCCCATCCGCCCTTCCCGCTCCGCATACATTCCCCCTTGCCCAAGCCCCCCATGCACCCCGCCATGCTTTTCATGGACCCATGGCTCCTGGTCCTATTCTTCATCCCTTGAGCTGCTCCACCCCCACCCGCAACTCCCACCCCCACCCCGCACGCCGCCGCCCGTGCTTGACATGGGCCCCTTGCTCCTGGCGTCATGGCTCCACCCCCACCCCCAACCCCCACCCCCAACACCCCACCCTTTCCACACTTCTAACCCCCACCCCCACCACCCACGCACCCCGCCCCCCCACTGGACCCATGGCTCCTGGCCCCGTTGGTGTTGGTCACATTCTTCATCCCTCGACCTGCATGGCTGCCAACGCTGGTCCTATAAATGGCCCCTGCTCCACCCCAACCCCCAACCCCCACCCCCATACCGTACGCATCCTGCCACCCCCAACCCCCAACCCCCACCCCCACCCACCCACACTTCCAACCCCTACCCCCACCCCCCACGCACCCCGCCCCCCACTGAACCCATGGCCCGTGGCTTTTCAGCTGACTTTAAAGGGCCCCAGTGCATGCCCGGGCCCTCCGCCCGCTCCGCCCTCCTCCCTTCCAGCTCCGCCCACTCTCCTCTGGCCCATGCTCCCACTCTCCATCCCCTTGACCTACCCCTCATGGACCCAGCTCCCTACCCCTTACCCCTCACACCCCTCACGCACCCTGCCCCGCCGCCCATGCCCATGGGTTCTGGCCCCACGGCTCCCCTCCGCCCTTACCCCCACCACCCACGCACCCGCTCCCCGCCCATCCGCCCTTCCCGCTCCGCATACATTCCCCTTGCCCAAGCCCCCCACGCACCCCGCCATGCTTTTCAACCCCCAACCCCCACCCCCATACCGTACGCATCCTGCCACCCCCAACCCCCAACCCCCACCCCCACCCACCCACACTTCCAACCCCTACCCCCACCCCCCACGCACCCCGCCCCCCCACTGAACCCATGGCTCCTTTTCAGCTGACTTTAAAGGGCCCCAGTGCATGCCCGGCCCTCCGCCCGCTCCGCCCTCCGCCCTTCCAGCTCCGCCCACTCTCCTCTGGCCCATGCTCCCACTCTCCATCCCCTTGACCTACCCCTCATGGACCCAGCTCCCTAGCCCCGCCGCCCATGCCCCTCATGGACCCATGGGTTCTGGCCCCACGGCTCCCCTCCGCCCTTACCCCCACCACCCACGCACCCGCTCCCCGCCCTGCTTGTCTGGCCCCTTGCTCCTGGCGTCATGGCTCCACCCCCACCCTAAACCCCCACCCCCAACACCCCACCCTTTCCACACTTCCAACCCCCACTCCCACCACCCACGCACCCCGCCCCCCCACCGGACCCATGGCTCCTGGCCCCATTGGTGTTGGTCACATTCTTCATCCCTCCACCTGCATGGCTGCCAACGCTGGTCCGATCATGGCCCCTGCCCCCCCCCAACCCCCAACCCCCACCCCCATACCGTACGCATCCTGCCACCCCCAACCCCCAACCCCCACCCCCACCCACCCACACTTCCAACCCCTACCCCCACCCCCCACGCACCCCGCCCCCCACTGAAGCCATGGCTCCTGGCCCGTGGCTTTTCAGCTGACTTTAAAGGGCCCCAGCGCATGCCCGGGCCCTCCGCCCGCTCCGCCCTCCGCCCTTCCAGCTCCGCCCACTCTCCTCTGGCCCATGCTCCCACTCTCCATCCCCTTGACCTACCCCTCATGGACCCAGCTCCCTACCCCTTACCCCTCACACCCCCGCACCCTGCCCCGCCGCCCATGCCCCTCATGGACCCATGGGTTCTGGCCCCACGGCTCCCCTCCGCCCTTACCCCCACCACCCACGCACCCGCTCCCCGCCCATCCGCCCTTCCCGCTCCGCATACATTCCCCTTGCCCAAGCCCCCCACGCCCCCCGCCATGCTTTTCATGGACCCATGGCTCCTGGTCCTATTCTTCATCCCTTGAGCTGCTCCACCCCCACCCGCAACCCCCACCCCCACCCCGCACGCACCCTGCCCCGCCGCCCGTGCTTGTCATGGGCCCCTTGCTCCTGGCGTCATGGCTCCACCCCCACCCCCAACCCCCACCCCCAACACCCCACCCTTTCCACACTTCTAACCCCCACCCCCACCACCCACGCACCCGCCCCCCCACTGGACCCATGGCTCCTGGCCCCATTGGTGTTGGTCACATTCTTCATCCCTCGACCTGCATGGCTGCCAACGCTGTCCCTTTTCTGGCCCCGGCCCCCAACCCCCACCCCCCACCCACCCACACTTCCAACCCCTACCCCCACCCCCCACGCACCCCGCCCCCCACTGAACCCATGGCTCCTGGCCCGTGGCTTTTCAGCTGACTTTAAAGGGCCCCAGCGCATGCCCGGGCCCTCCGCCCGCTCCGCCCTCCGCCCTTCCAGCTCCCCCAACCCAACCCCCAACCCCCACCCCCACCCACCCACACTTCCAACCCCTACCCCCACCCCCCACGCACCCCGCCCCCCACTGAACCCATGGCTCCTGGCCCAAGGGCCCCAGCGCATGCCCGGCCCTCCGCCCGCTCCGCCCTCCACCCTTCCAGCTCCGCACACTCTCCTCTGGCCCATGCTCCCACTCTCCATCCCCTTGACCTACCCCTCATGGACCCAGCTCCCTACCCCTTACCCCTCACACCCCTCACGCACCCTGCCCCGCCGCCCATGCCCCTCGTGGGTTCTGGCCCCACGGCTCCCCTCCGCCCTTACCCCCACCACCCACGCACCCGCTCCCCGCCCGTGCTTGTCATGGGCCCCTTGCTCCTGGCGTCATGCCCCCACCACCCACGCACCCCGCCCCCCCACTGGACCCATGGCTCCTGGCCCCATTGGTGTTGGTCACATTCTTCATCCCTCGACCTGCATGGCTGCCAACGCTGGTCCTATTATGGCCCCTGCTCCACCCCAACCCCCAACCCCCACCCCCATACCGTACGCATCCTGCCACCCCCAACCCCCAACCCCCACCCCCACCCACCCACACTTCCAACCCCTACCCCCACCCCACGCACCCCGCCCCCCACTGAACCTTGCACTGTGGGCACTCGTACGAGACGCATACACGGCCGTCTTGGACCTCCGTCGCAACGGCTTTCGTGCAGGCGAAGCAGCGAGCGTGCGCGGGATCGCAGGCGGGACTTGCTCTGCGGTTGTGCAGGCCGCCGCCCGGTGCCAGCTCTCTCGGTGCCCCCGTTTCGCTGTTCGTGCCCACGCCGCACGCCGCGCACGCCCGACACCCGTCTTTTGTTGCTGCCGGCACCTGGGCTCGGCACCGTGCGCCGGTGCTGCTGCCTTGCTTTTGCCGTTTCTCGATTTCGGCCCGCACCTCCTGTAGGATTTGCTGCCGTTTCCTGCTGCGGTCTGCAGCACGCACTGTCTCTTGTCGGTTGTGCAGCCTGCGACGCGCACGGAGGCCAATGTCCCGGCACTGCAACTTCTGGCGGCAGACGTTACATGTCCGGTCCCGCTTCTGGCGCCAGCCATTGGGCGTGAAGGCCGCCTGCGGAAACCAGTGCGCACAAGCTCCACATTGCCGCTTCTCCAGGCACATGAGGCAAGTGCTTTGCCAGATCAAATAATTGCTGATTTTGCCCGGAAACGCCTCTGGGGCTTGCCATCGCTTGCAGCGCTTACAGCGATACGGCGTGCCGCGTTCGCGGTAGGACTTTGTGCACTCTTTGCAGATTGCTGCTCCGTCCGGCTGCTTCCATTGTCCCTGCGTAAACGCTGACTTCAGCCGCTCTGTTCGGCACTCGCTGCAGGTCTTGACACGCACGTACCTCTGCACGATGGCATCCCAGTTGACGTCATGCGTGCGCAAGTGCTGCATCAGCAACGCTCGGAAGCTGGTGTCGCCTTGCTGGAATGGAGCCGCATCGAAGGGCCGCAGAATGAGAACGCCTTCCCGGCTCGTGACCCGCGTCAAGGCAACGTAGGCGGCCAAGACGTTGCTGTACGCGCCATAACACAGATCTGCGACGATGCCCTCCTCCAGCGTCTGTCCTTGCGCCTGATGCGCCGTCATAGCGAAAGCTGGTATTAGGGGAAGTTGCCGTCGACGGACTGCCAGCACCGGCGATTTTCGGCCGGCATCCAGATGCCACGTCGCACGCTTTGGCACAACGGGATACACGCCCGTGGCCAGCCCAGTAATGCGCCACTTCGCGCCAGGGAAGCGCACGTAAACTACTTCGGGCAGCTGGTTCCAGACCGTGCAGCCGGGCCCCGCCGGTTCAGCGCCATCAGTAGCGTGGCGCCAACCCGTGACGAAGCCCCGCCGTCCTTTCAGGAGCCCGCGCGCGCGGTTGAGGTGGTCCGTCAAAAGCACCGGCATGCCGTCGCACAGCGGCAGCATGCCACACAGCTCGCCGCACTCCCGGTCGTGGCGTTGCAGCCAGAGCAGTTTCTGCTCGGCCAGGTCCGGTTTCTCGCGCACGACGGCCGCACAAGCGCAATCCTGGGCCACGACGTAGTGCAAATGCCGTTTCGTGCGACGCGCGAAAGCCTCGGCGCGGATTTTGTTCGTGTGGCATTTCCGTACGTTCGTGGCGAAGATGGAGGGCGCGAGGACGAAGCGACCCAAGAATCTGGGATCGTGCGACGATTCGGCTACTAATCGGCGCGAAGCACGCTCGGCGCAGCACCTTGCGCATTCCTCTGCTAGGATGGTCTCCGGCGTTACTTGCTGCGCGCCGAGGCATTGACACTTTGCTTGTCCGCACCCGGCTCGCCCGCGCAGCCAGCTGCCTGGCACGCGCGTTGGTCTTCCGTGCAAGAAAGCATGGTTGTCGGCACTGAGCTGACCGAAGCGGAATTCGTCCTGCAACTCTTTGAGCCATTCATCTTTGGTGCGCTCGCATTCCTCCAGCTCCGTGCAACCCTGGAAAGCCAGCTCCGGCGGCCCCCACATCAACTCCTGCCCCTGCGCCAGGAGGGGCCGCTGCCGGGCGCCTGCACTGCCCAGCCACTCGTGCGGCAAATCGGCGATGAAATGCCCTTTGGGAGGCTCCAGCTGCCACAAATCCCCGACGACAAGAACGTTCAAGCCTCCGAAGGGCTTGTCGACGTTGGCTGCATCGCGCTTGAACGGGCTGCCATTCCGGATCACCCGCCGACACGCCTGCTCTAGCTTTGCCAGGAGTTCCACACTCACCATGCTTATTTCGTCTATTATAAGCCAGCGCAGCTGGAGCATGCGCTGCGCTTGCTGCAGTCCTTTCGTTAGCGGCGTCGTGTCTGCGGCGTTCTGGCCCCAGCTCAACCCGAAGGCACGGTGCAGCGTGTCCCCATCGACCATCTCGGCTGTTACCGCCTGCAGCGCCGCAAACTGGGCCTTGGCTCCAGCCCAGGATGTCTTCGAATAGCTCCTTGCGCAGAAGTTTGACCGCGTGTGTTTTGCCGGTGCCAGGCCCGCCATGCAGCACCCAGCGCATGGCGTCCGGCAGGCCCGAACGCGCGCCACCCTGTGCCTCGCCTGTTTGCATCTCTTCCACAACTCGACGCGCCACCCGCTCAATGAAAGCGTGCTGCGCTCTGTTGCAGATAGGTCTGCCCTTCTCATCGACGCGAGTGCGCAACTCCGTCACCCACTCGTGGACAGCACGCACGGTGGCACGGATGCCACGCGTGCGTACAGTCGGTTCGCGCTCCAGCGCTTCCTCTGCAACGGCATCCTCTGCCTCTGCGCCGCCCTGCGGCGCTTTCCGTGCTTCTTTCACCAGTTCACGCACATCCAGCGTGTTCTCTGCGGCTAGCGCTCGGCCCGGCTTCCCTTCGTTTGTTTGTTCCGCTCGCCACGTCTGCTCCAAGTCCGCGTATTCTGCGTCCGGCGCCTCTACCCCGTTTTTTTCTGTTTTGCGCGTGGTCAGGCTCGTAGCCAGATTGTCCGCAGTCACGCGCACGGCACTCGTGTCTGCGCCGTCGTTGTCACTGTTTTCGGCGTCCGCAGCGAGAGAGCGCACGCGGTAGACGGACAGGAAATTCCCAATGTGCTGTTTCGTTTCCTGACACGGAAGCTCTTGTAGCCAGGCCCGAAATGCCGTCTCCCACGCGAGGTAGCTGCCCTGCAAGTCGGCTATATGAGGCACGTCGCGGTCTGCATGCTGGGGCATGCCCGTCCACGCCCGAAAATACACCATGCATAGTTTGGAGTTCTCCTCCTGGCATTCTTGCTGGTACCGCGGCACCGGGCAGTGGCCAAAGGTCGGGCAGCGCGGGCGGCGACGTCTGCGCAGCAGCCACGCGGCGCGCACGCGCGCGTTCGTGGGGATGTCCTCGAAGGCCAGGGTGTCGCCGCTGGGTTCGACGCGCAGGCGCGTATCCTTGCCGGGAACGAGGCGCACGCGCTTGCCTCCTCCCGCCCGAAGCTTTTCCTCGCCGCTCTTCGTCAGCACCACGTCCCATGTGCTGCGGGGTTGTGTCTTCCATTCCTGTAACGTGGCCGGCGATTGCGTAGGAACAACCTGCCAGTACAGCAGAAATTCGTAGGGGGAGAGATGCCAGCAGGCGCTGTTGCGGGGACGGCGCGCATAGAACTCTGCTGGTTCGCGTTCTGCCAGCTGCCGCTGTCGCGGCACGTGCTTGCTGCGGCCCAGCGACATTGCCGTCACCCGCCGGCGGTGTTCCGTCTCGCCGGTGATCGCCAAGTCTGCGTAGCGAAGGAAATCTCGTCCGGGAAATGTCACGTACTGCGTTGTTGTGATTCTTTCCGCGCACGCCGCGTCGCCGTCCTTGTAGTTGCAACGCAGATTGCAGCACTCGGCCTGCCCTCGAACGATCCCCTTGCAATACGCATCCGATAAAAAGCGCGTCATGTGCCGCTTGCCCTGGTACTCCACGCCACGGCCCTTTGTTTGTTCTGCTAAGCGAGCATGCCCCTTCTGGAGCTCCTTCAATTCAGCAAATGCCATGGGTTGCGTTTTCGCACAGTAGTCGCAGCAGTATCCAGTCTGCGCATCCTGGGCGCGTTGCGCTGCTGTCACGATCTCTTGGAGCTCGCGGGGGTCCGTCGGCGACGCGCACACGTCGCAAACACACGGCAAACGGTATGGGAGCTGCACATCAGAGTTGCAGCGACCAAATGCCAAAATGGCAGGGTGCGTGCCGTTGAGGTAGGCTTCGTCGCGAGGTCCTTGAAGCGTGCAGATGCTATTCTTGCGTCCGGACGCTGGCATGTCGCGCGCCTGCAAACGGCACGGGCACATGACAGCCGCTTCGTCGGTCACCTCAGCGTCCCGCGGAAAGCCGCTTTTGCAGTCACGGGGATTGTCGGCTTTGAGGCAACCCGGTTGCGGCGTGCGCTCGCCTGTTACTGGGTCCGGAAGATGCACGTGGTGCTGCTTCAGGACCTGCAGCCAGAACACGTCCTCGCGCAGATACGCCTCGGTCCAAAGCTCCGCTTCCTCGTCGCTGTTTTCTGCGGCCATGACGCCGGCTTGGTAACGCGGCCGGCTGATGAGCCGCCGCTCTGACTTGTATTCCGGCCACCGCTGTTCCGCCGCGTGTAGCGCTGCCGTAACCTCGACAGGGTTTCTGTCGTAGATGCACCTGCGCACGTGCGACGTGTAATGCAGGTAGGCCTCCCGCAGCGCCGCCGCGCGCTCGGACGTTGCAGCGAAAATCTCGCGCAGACTCTCGTGCTGATGCAAGCACTGCACGAACAACTGTATGTGACCGTGCCCACTTCCGCTCGATTTCTGGAACTCGACAGCCACATAGGCCGCGTCGCATCTACCGAAGACGCCGCCGTTGGTTTTTGCGTTGCTGCCGCGATTGTCCTGACACGGTGTAGGCCCGCAACTGCAATCTGGGCAGTACAGGCATGTGCTCATACCGAACAGGTGTCGCAGCAGCAGTAGCATCGTGACGCGAAACCCGTCCACCGTCGCTAGCGGATCCCGTGCGAGGATGCGCCGTCGTTCTTCCCAGTTGGGCACACGCGGTTCCAGGCACTCAACGGGCAAGGAACACGTGAAGTCGGCGTCGAGCGCAGGCCACGCCCGGTCTCCTGCGGCTGCCGCCGCGCCGACCTCCACGAGTCGAATCGGGTCGCTCCGGCGGTGACGGGACAAACGAATGTACAGCAGCTGATGGCCTTCGTCGGGGGTCACGCTCCCCGTGGAATCGGTAGCTGCAGCTACTCTTGTCCCCCCTCTGGCCGTGCGCGGGCACCTCTCTGGGTGGGCACTTGTACGCCAGGTTGACTGGAGAACCCTGTGCTCGGAGCTACTCCACTGGTGACCACCATGGAGTACCCTGGGCCGGTCTTGCCTTGATTGTTCTTGCTGTGAAGTCCCCACTTGCTGACCTCCATGGGGCTTATGCCCCCTGTGCCGGGCGCGGACACCTCTGCCGTACCGCGCCCGCATTCCCTGAATTTCGAAGCGCATCTGTCGCCGGGCCTCCTGCGTGCCGGGAATGACGCGGGCCGTGTGATTCATGTTCGCCAAGATGCGGCGCGCCGTCGCGGACAAGCCCGTTGCGTATTTGGCAAGTGTGAGGCTGCCGTTGACAGGGAGCCGCCGTCCGTCTGGCGTTGCATACGTCCCTTTCAGGGCCCGCAGGATTTCGATGGCGGCATTTTCGAGGGCCGCGGCGGTGAGCTTACCCCACTCGCCGGAGTCTTGCAGAACCGGCGTGTCGTAGGAGTACACACTGCGCGACAGGTTCACAGCCGAACGAAATAACACATTCCATGTCGTGTAACCGAACGTCCAATCGCGGCCCAGCTGGCTTTCCACGCGCCGAGACATCGTCCGGACCCAATCGGCTAGTCCGATGTGTGGGGCCTCGGGCGGGCGACGCCACCGCTTGTCCCGGAACTCTCCCCAGCTTGGCGGATCGGGCATGGCTGTGCAATACTGAAACATGTAGGCGAAAGCAACGCCAAAGTACCACGGCGCAAACTGGTTCATGGGCGTGGACCGCGACACCACGTCCGTTTCCGGAGCCGGTCCATCCTCTTGCTCGCTGCCTGAGTCTCGCAAATCCTCTTCGGCGACTTCGGCCAGGGCGCGCACCGCCTCGAAACGCTGGGCCTCATAGTCTTCCAGGCCCGTTTTCTCCAAGACTACCGCATTGGGACGCTTCAGGTCCAAGTCGAGCGCTGCTTCTTGTACAGTTGCTGGCGCTGCCACCGGCGCCGCAACCTTTTGTTTCTCGATTTGCTGCAGATTATCGTCACACGGAAGCACGGCCACCACTTCGGGCGGGACGCCATCTTCGGGCAGCTCCCTCTCTGCCCGTAGCCGCACCTGGGCAAGGTCCAGTTCGCGGAACGCTGGATGCTCTCGCTCGCACGCTTTTTCAATCAGCATGATCACAACGCGACGCCGGACCCGTGCCTGGTGAATCAACTTGCTAAGCTCCTCCGGCGTCAGCTCCGTATCACTGGTCTTCAATATCACGGACACAAATTTCTGCAGGTCCTCGCCCGTTCGAGGCAAGGGCGCCCTGGCCTGCGGCGCCAGATTTACTTCGTAGCCCCGGAACTGCGCCAGCAAGCTTTCCCAGTCAAGCAAGAACGTCGTAGCGTTCCCGCGCGCCCCTTGCCGATGTCGCTGCATGTGCACGCGCTCATCCAGCGTCCGCTGGTTCCTGTACTTCTTTTCCAAACTGAAGCAAATTAAACTGGTCAAGCATGGGCTGGCACACACCAGCTCCAGCATCGTCACCTTGAATTCGTACAGCTCTCGCGGCGCATAATACACGACCATGTCGTTAGCGAGTGCCTCCTTGGGGATGGCTCCCTTGCCAGCCTGCTCCCGGCACGACGCGCAGACAGGGATCCAGCAGCGCGCGCACGCGTGGTGCTCACTGCAGCCGGCCTTGCATTCTTTGTCCTCGGGACAGCAAATCAAGTCTGTACAGCTGATGACCACCGGCGGCTTCACCAGGTCTCAGCTAAAGTAAACTTTACTGTCCATTTATTTTCCACCAAAAAGCAACGCCTGCTGTTGGTTAACAGCTAGCACTAAGACCACCGGCGGCTTCACCAGGTCTCAGGCTACCTACATACAGTGCAATGTGCTTTCGTTCCTGCCCGCCTGAAGCTGCCATTAGAGCATTGGGACCAGCCCCTGCCGCAGCAACGTACGGAGCGACGTCCTCCTCCAGCATGCCCCAGATTCCAGCGTTGACGATAGCGACACCAGGTTCCAGCATGCTCTTATCCTGCACAGCCGAAGCCAAGCCATAGCGGCCTCCCAGGTGTCTGTGGGCAGGCACCGCAGCGAACTTTTCATGCACCTTCACCTCGGTCTTTTCGCCCTGCTGGCCCTTCTTCCGCTTCTTTCCTGCAGGCGGTTCTTCTTCCGCAGGGGCCGGAAACTTGGCGTTCAAATCGGACCAGAGGCGGTCGTGCAAGCGCCGGGCAGTCGCGTTGATCCTCCGCCCTCTGTCCATTCCCAACTGCTGGTAAACCCAAGTGTAATCCAGATTTTGGTGCCAGTTTTCGCCCCATGCCTGCTCGGCGGCTTGCAAAATAGGCAGGTACTGGGCGTCGTCCATGGCGAGAACAATGCAAAAAGAAGTGAAACAAACTATGAACTCTGAACACCCGGAACCCTCGTAGGCTGCCAACTTCCCCGACACTTGACCTACATTGGCTGACCGAAAGACTGGTATCTGGCTCACTCACACAGCAAGGGAAATTGAGGGTTTAGGGTTTTCAGGGTTCTGAGTTTCGAGGCTTGAGCGTTTGGGCTTTACAGGCCGCGCGTGCATCGGGTAGGGATTATGAACGGTTTCGGGCTTAGGCTTCGGGGTTTTAGTGGGGGTGTAGCCTGGCTTCTTGGAAGTCCGCTGTTCTTGAACCCCCGTCCCCCCCCCCCCGCTTCCAAAATCTGGACGGGGCAAAGCACGCGCTCCCAGGAACCTCGCATAACCCAAGAACTCCCTGCGATCTCGGCCTCGTCTGTCATCTTGCCCACAAACCCCAAACCCTAAACCCTAAATCCTAAACCCTAAACCCTAAACCGTAAACCCTAAACCCTAATCCCTAAACCCTAGCCTAAACCCTAAACCTTGTCCTGAGCCACCCCTAGACCCTAAACCCTAAACCCTAAAGGGTTTTCGGGCTCCAAGGCTTTGCGCGTTTTCGAGGTTTAAGGAAAGTTTAAGGCTTGGATGCTTTAAGCCTCAGGGCTTGTGCAAGTGTGGTGTGTCGAGCTCTAGGGCGCCTAAGTGCATTGAACGCGAGTTTTCTCGGTTTACAGGGCCTAGGGCTGTGCTGCATAGTTTCGAGGCCTCTCGAGGACTGTGAGGTTTGGGGCTTTAAATGGGCTGCGGGTTCACGCGCGTTCCAAGACCGCGCACCCAGTAAGCCCCAAGCCCCAGCTGAAGGCTATCCTGCTTGAATGGGAAGCTACCCAAAAACCCTAAGCCCCAAAAACCCCGGACCCCTGGGGGGCCTCTGGGGTGTCTCCCACTGCGCGGGCTTGGCCTTGTCCACAAAGTCGACGGAGTTGGCCTAAGGTGGGGTTTAAGTTTAGGTTTTAGGGTTTCGGGTTTAGGGGTTCAAGATTTTGGGTTAAGTGTACTGATACCCTACATGTAGAGGACTTATAAGGCCATACAACTTGACGCGGCGCACGCACAGCCGCTCCCTACATGCGGCGCACGCACTGCCGCTGATGATAGTCGCACATGGAGTTGGTATCCCACTGAGTCCGCGGCCATTTGTCCACCATGGTCTTGTCCACGCGAAAGACTATATATATATATACATAATCCGCGGCCGGAGCCCACAGTGCCTTGGCCCCCCTTGGAGGGGGTCGGCGGCACTGGCGGTAGCCATTAAATATATATATAATCTCGGTGTTCTTCAGAATCGAGATAAGTTCTGGGATGTTCTGGGTGTTCTGTGTTCTGCAGAGCAGGCTGTTCGGCACTTCCCCCCCTTAAACTCCCCCTTGTTTCAATTCTTCAAGTCGAGTCCAGTGGTGGATGCATTCTTTTGTGAGGGGGCCCCTGCCTGGGCCCGGTTGTTCCGCCACTCAGGGTCGGCATTGCCAAATGCCACCGGCGCAACCCGGAAGGGGCCCGACATGAGAGCCGTCCCGAGTTGTCTTTGCGGAAGTCCTTTTGTATGCAAAGTCAGGCTGAGTGATGCTGAGCGAGTGCTAAGTGAATGCTAAGAAAATGCTGAGTAAATGCAGAGTCATCAATGCTAAGTCATGCTAAGGAGTGGCTCAGGGGCGCCCCCGGCACTGCTCGGCCTGGCTCTCTAGACCGAGCACGATGTTGACTGCAGCTATGGAAGCTCTGCAGCTAAACCGCGTGATTGCACGTGATTCTGCGTGTTTGTCTGTTGCTGAGCCAGAAACTTCGAATCGGCTCCAAACCCCCGGCGCAAAAGCCACCAAACGCGAACGACGCGCGACTGGCCCAGCTTGCTCACAAGCTGAGGCTCAGGCTATCTTAGCATTCTTCGTATGAGAAGAGGCAACGCTTCGAGGGCCTCTGAAAGGGGGCCTCCGAGCACCCGGCCTTCACTTTCTTTGCAGCCCTGAGGGAAACAAGGAAGGCGAAGGGCTTTGGAAAGGAAGGGCTTTGCGAAAGCCGTTAAAGGAAAGGAAGGAAGGGGGAAGGGGGCTTGGATGAATTGGATGCGGGGAATGTCGGGGATGCTTTGCCAACGTCTTTGGCCGAGGCGCCCGGGCTTCAGCTCGTCCTTCAGCATCGGGTGCTTGCAGCCCGTGAATGCTGGTGGTGAGAGGTCCAAGTTGGCCTCACACACGAAAACCGTTGAACCTCACCTGCCCTCTTCTGCGGAACCTTGCAGTCTACAGAGGCTTGTGTTGGAGCCACATGTTGGAGGATCTCTCCAAGCCTCGTTGATCTTGAGCTCGCCATCGACCATGGCCAGGTTGCAGTCTTCATCCGGAATGATCCGGCTGCACCTCAGCATGCTCAATGCACTAAATAAGACTCTAAGGTTTTTGACGAGTGAGACTCAAGTAGATCTTTTTACGTGCGCTGCCCTTCGAATTGCTGCGACTTCCAGAAAAAAATAAGACGGGTGCAGCGGAACCTTGATCGCCATCGATGCCTCAGAAGCGATCTCGGGAGAAGGTGTAAAGATGCGCAAGGCCATGCGAAGCCGTGCGAAGCCGTGCGAAGCCGTGCGAAGCCGTGCGAAGCCCATGCAAAGCTTGCAAAGGTGTTTGTGGGGCCCTCGCCATCTTGCCCTTGCGACCTGCCACGGCGGGCACGGGCCTGGCGGAATCCCTGCACTCTGCTCTCCGCACTGTCCGCACTGTCCGCACTGTCCGCACTGTCCGCACTGTCCGCACTGTCCGCACTGTCCGCACTGTCCGCACTGTCCGCACTCTGCCCTACATGCAGCACTTCGCTTTTTGAGCACCGCGGTCGCTTCCGTCACTATGGCCACTCAGAAGACATCCTCGGAAGGCAAAACTCACGACCAGTCACTGTCAACTTCACAGCCGAGGCTTCACTGCAAGTGACCTAATCGTATAGGTCCAAAAGCCGCAGAGCAAAACAAACGGCAGGAAACGGCTCAAGCCTACGGCTTCTTTTTTCACGAACCACACGATAGCTTACTCACATACCCCTGGCCCGAGTGAAATGAATCCGCGAGAAAGAAAGCATGCAAAAACTCAGGGAAAGCAATCACAGAAAGGAATTATGAAAAGAACTCTGATTCCTGTAGCTCACGCCCGCAGTACGCACTTTGGGGTTGTCTGCTTCATAGAAGGCTGTCTGAGCATCCACGACAAACTATGAGTGATGTCAGAAAGCAAACCTAGACTCACCCACGAGAACGCAAGCAAAGACACCCGTGGCTCGCTGGCTGTTCGTTGTGAAGGTTTGGTCTGCATGCGCAGGCTGCACCCACTTCCTTGTCTTCGTGTGTGGACTGCGTTTGTTCTCTCATGTCGGACACCTCGACACGCTGTGCGTGCGTGGCCCCTTGCGAAGTGGAAGACAGAGGCTCAGTAGGCCGTGCTTGCCAGCTGGTCCGATTATGAGGTCTGCTATACACAGGTTCCACCTCATTTCCACTGATTGCAGTATGGTTTGCGCAGAACCTCCCGTATCTTTCCAAAAGACTCCAAAGGAGCATGGGTTGGCCGTATTCAGACAATCGGGGAATACCGAGGACTGCAAACTTTGGGCCAAGACATCTTGCCTGGTCTGCTATGATCATCTGAGGTGGCTGCTTGGCACCCAGTCACTCTACCTGCATAAGGCCCGCACGGTATGTGCCCAACCCGCATCAGCAAGGCGCGTGCATGTAGCGGGCTCAATGTTTTTAACCTCAGGCGAACCCATTCTAACAGACGCGGAGCTGGGCGAACGAAAGCTAGGGCCCCCAAGTCTCTACGGCGTGTAGGACGAGCAGCGACAACAGCACTGGCTCCCTCAGACGATCGTCTAGCTATGAGAAGTGGCTCAAAGCGACGCAGTTCCTCAAGATTGATTTGCACGCCGCAGTAAGTGATGCGAACTTCGGGTGACGGGCCAGTTGTAAGCTGTAAGCTCAGATAGCCCGGCAGAATCTTTTTGCGATGGGCTTACGCTTCTTCCGGAAATTTTGACATAAGCTGCAGGCCCTTGGGTGGGTTCAAGGGGGAGGGGGAGCGACCCCCCAACCTTGTCGAGGATACTCAACCCCCCGCCTCGAGCAGGGCCTCTCCTGATAACTCAGGCCGAAAGGCCAAAGGGGGAGGGGGGGGGGGGGGGCATGTAACCTTAATTAAACCCTTGAGATATCAGGCCAAAGGTTCCCACAAGTCCTGTTTGGCCCAAAACAAGAATTTTCTGACAGCCACGTGCCAGCCACCCAACCCTGACTTCAATTCAGGTGAGTGTGGGCCACAACAAGCCAGCAGGTCGTCTTCCGAGAATTTTCTCAGCCCCTCTGGCAGTGACGTGCTGCATCGTGCTGCTTTTTTCTGCCATGAGCTCTTCTCAAAAGCCGGGGCTCCGTGGTCCGCTCTCCGGTCCCTCTGCTGCGGAGTTCAGCTTCGCTCTTCGAGGCGCTACTCCCTGACCAAACAGATCACAGTGATCACAGCTCTCTTTTCTGCCATGCACCTTTCACATTCTCTCAGAGATGAGGCTAGGACCGGCTAGGACATAAAAGACGACACAGCCGACATGGCGCCATGGCCCCTACACTTACTTCTCCTCCTTCGTTTCCGGGCTCTAACTGCTTAATGCTTTTTCAGCCCCCGACAAACTGCAGCCCCTTGTCCACTCAGCTTCCAGCATCCAGGGGCTGTCGGCCACTGCCACAAACAGCTCCTCCATCGCCTTAAACAACATCAGCAGCACGAACAGCTCTCTAGGCTTTAAACGGCTTCGAAAATCTCAAACGACTCCCCGATGCTCTCCGACCTGACGCAGATTGTCAACTCAGATCCGAGCCCCCTGGAAATCGGATTCTGCCTCAAAGCTGTCCATCAGTGGCAGCCTTGGAAGTCAAGGAAGCTGTCCAACAGCTTGGAGTGCATGGCATGTGTGTGGATTTTTGTTGTCAGTATTGATATGGACATTGTCTGCTATCAACATCCGAGGCTTGGGCAGCACCCGCCAGGCCATGGCCTTTCGGAGCCCCTGCCAGTGGCCATCTTGCAAGACCTCTCAGGAGCTAAACCATAATGAAGATGAGGGATGTGAGAAAGTTGGGGCAACAGGCTGTCATCTTCCGAGCTCGCGCGCCGTCTGTGTGGCCGGCAGAGGCTCCAGCAGCGGTCGCTCTTTGCCCAGACCTCACTCAAGAAACTCAAGAAATCAAGTACGCACACCACGATACACGTGCACACCAGCGCCCTGCCACCTGTGCATCAGAAGCCCAGCCGAGGAGGGGGCGGTCCCGTGCCCAATCAAAGAGCGCCTGGAGACCGCTGGCAGAGGCAGTGCTGGACGGACAAGACTGGACCGAGACTGGACCGAGACTGAACCGAGACTGAACCGAGACTGAACCCGAGTTTGGGAGGCGCAGCTGCCTCCCGTGCTGCGGCAGTCTCGAGCGTGGCCTGACCACAAGCCACCCGACTCGAACACACGCACTTGGGGTGCACACGACGGCAGCTGCTGAAATCTGCTCGAACTCTCTTGGGAGCTCCTCTGCAGCCTTCTTCCTCTTCCGCAATTTCTAAAGCCTCTTTCTCTTCTTTCTGCAGCGGGCCTTTTCGGCCTCCGCGGCATGGCCCACGCCGGGCCCTGGTCGCACGGCCTAGGACAAGCAACAGGAAGACAGAAAGCAGCGCAGCAGCGCACAACTCAAATGAAACAACACCGAAGACTTTAACAGGTTCTGAAAAAAAAATCGACCTCCACGATCGCACGTAAGCAAGAAGACACCGCGCAAAAAGGGGGATCCTCGCTGAGTCTGGGCTTCGGGCAGCACCGAACCGGGACAGCGCGGGGGCCCGGGCGGCGTTGCGCTCCGCCGTGGCCTCACAGAAGCCGGCTCTCTGGCTCTCTCTTGGGCTCACACTTGGAGCCACTGAGCTGCCGCAAGCTGCCCTTCTCCCCAGCCTCTCTGTAAGCCTCTTTCCAGAGGTTGTGCTTCACGTACCTCAGCTTCAAGAAATCAAAGCTAGCCGCTGGCCTACCCAGCCCCGAAGGCACGAGGGACAAGTGGAGTTCTAGAAGCCCCGAAGTCCCCGAAGTCCCACTAAGTTTCTCTGAGCTGCAGGAGCAGGAACCATTCGAGGTCGCTGAGGTTCACTGTGCTGGGTGCGGCCGAATGGAAAGCATCAGTCCAGAGTGATGAGGCCTCTGGAAGTCTGAAGATTCTGGAAGCGGAGCTTGTCCCCCCAACAGCTTGAAAGTGCGCCCCTTCCGTCAAACACCCGCCTGCATGGCTGGCAGCAGTGGAAGTGCGACTAGCGGGTCCTCACAATGATTGCACAGTGCCCGCGAAGCTCACCTCCCCATCTCACGTTAACATTGCCGAAGTCGTACTACTAGCATCCTTCGCGGAGAGGCACAGCAAGGTGTCCGTCAGGAGTGGCCTCGCTGTGCAGAGAGAACGGAGATCAACCGGGGGCAGTTCTGTAACGGGGCTCGCTGGCAGAACATGGCGAACAGCAAATCACTGCAGCCGAAGCACACCACCACACCATCCAGGGCGGATCGAAGGAACCTTTGCCGGCTCTCGCCTGGATGGCGAAGGCATCGGAGGCAAAGTTGCCGAGCTCTTCTTGACAAGACGGAAAATCTCTGCTCACAAACATCCCTTTTAGGTGACACAGGCATTCGGAATGTCGGGTGAAACTGCGGACCCAGCGCACAGGCGTTGCGAAATTTGTTCCTGGTCTTTCCACCCGCTCACACCTTGTCGCTCCCCGTTGGAACTTGTCATGATTGCAGAGACTGCAGGCTATTCTTGGCTCTGTTCTGGTCCGCTCGCGTTTGCAATATGTACAAGGGTGTTCCCATCTCAGGCACACTGGTCACTAGTCAAAGCTCACTGCCGCCAGCTGCAGCATGGGAAACGGCCGGCTGTGCCCTCGCACACATGATGCCATAAGATGCCACCCTCAAGATGCTGCGGCAACGCCTTGACGGAGTGGGAAGAGCTTGGGGTTCGACGTGTGCAGGATGTCCTGTAAGCGCACAGCGACATGTGTAGTGTCGCTACTAGAGTCTCGGGCCAATGCTTTGTCTCCTTCCACCACCCCCACCACACCCCCACACCCCCACACTCCCCGCACCCCACGCCCCCACGCCCTCACGGCCCCACGCCCCCCACGCCCCCACACCCTCACACACTCACACACTCCCACACCCTCACACACTCACACACTCCCACACCCGGCAAAGGTCCGACCTACTGTAGACATCACGAGCACAACGCCTCGTGCATGAAGAGGTCGTCGCCCTCGTAATACTCATCGCCTCAGCTTCTTGCAGCACATGTCGAGGGAACCACCCTCCCACCCTGATGAGTATCGTTAGTCGGCGCAAAAGCAAGGAACCATTCGAGTGCACAGTCTAGGCACCCCCGACCGAGAAACCAGTCGAGGCCCCGACGGACACCCAGCTCGGCAGGTGGCCGCAGTGCCGGCAAAGAGCTGGGCCGGAGAAGCCCTGACACTGGGAAATCTCTGTGAGAATGCTCTCTGCGTAAGGCTCTGAATTGTGGCCCTGAAACTTCCTGAACTCTTTTTGGGAAGGGGGGGGGGGAGGCTTCTCGGCTTCTGCTTCGGAAGACCTCCGATGCCCGCGCGGCGCAGGGCGCCTGCGGGAGAAGTCAGCGAGTGGACTTCTGAACCCCAACTTGCTCGAACTTGATGCGCCCGGGGCTTCTGCAGGTTCCAACATGTACAATACTCCAGCTGACGCTCCCGGGCAACACTAGCAGCGGTACAGAGCCCATGACATGAATACGTGAGACGAAGAAGGTCCACAGCTGTCAATGAGAACCCAACCGAATCACTCACACGACCATGACACGCAAAATCGAGACTCAAGCCCTTAACACACAAAACACACACACACACACACAAACAAAATGGCCCTTGCCTTAAGGGGGGGGGGACCCCGAAAAATTACCGGTAACATTTCCGGGTCTCTCGCCGGGCATCTGGGGAAAACATGCAAACATACCCCGCAATCCGTGTAACATATAAAAGACATGAAAGAGACAGAGAACTAAAGGATGTATGTTTAGGCCTTTGTGTGGGCAAGACACACAAGCCAAAATGTTACAAAGCCTGGGGAGGTTCTCCTGGTAGCAATTCCGACCCCCCAACATGTTTTCCACGAAACCATCGGTAATTGACGCAGCCCACCCCCCCCCCCCCCCACTTGGAAACATTTCCTAAAGCAGGGCCATCACACCCACACACACCCACCCACGCGCGCGCGCATACACATCGACCTCGTCCGGATGACTCGTCAGCAGGCGGCGGCGGCGATTGCTTGGGAGGAGGCGGTGCCTAATATTGGCATCGCTCAGCATATTTATCGACACCTGCAGTGAATTCCATCATGCTGTCCAAACTCAAAGTTCGAGATGTTCGATGTCTACAGTATCACTTCTGAAGCTCTGAAGTGCAAGACCTGAAAGCCTGAAGGAGCCCAGTCCAGCCCGAGCGCCACTGGTGGTCGTGGTTTCTGCCGGCCTGTCCTGGCAGCCATACACAAGCACAAACAAAAACACACACAGACACACACAGACACACACACACACACACACACACACACACCCCACCCACACCCACACCACCACACACACACACACACCACACACCACACCACACACCACACCACACACACACACACACACACACACACACCACACCACACACCCACACCACACACCACACACACACACACACACCACACACACACCCACACCCACCCACACCCCACCCCACACACCACACCCACACACCCACACCCACACCCACACCCACACACCCACACACCCACACCCACACCCACACCCACACCCACACCCACACCCACACCCACACCCACACCCACACCCACACCCACACCCACACCCACACCCACACCCACACCCACACCCACACCCACACCCACACCCACACCCACACCCACACCCACACCCACACCCACACCCACACCCACACCCACACCCACACCCACACCCACACCCACACCCACATCCACACCCACACCCGCACACGCGCACACGCGCACATGCACACACGCACACACGCACACACGCACACCCGCACACATGCACACCCGCACACCCGCACACACGCACACCCGCACACACGCGCACCCACGCGCACACACGCGCGCACACACGCGCGCACACACACACGCGCGCGCGCGCGCGCACACACACACACAAAACACACACACACACCACACCACACACACACACACACCCAACACACACACACACACACACACAACACACACACACACACCACCACACACACACACACACACCCCCGAGAGACCATTACACACACACACACCACACACACACACACACACACACCCACACACACACACACACACACACACACACACACACACACACACACACACAACACACAACAACACACACACACACACACACACCACACAACACACACAACACACACACACACCACACACACACACACACACACACACACACACACACACACACACACACACACACACACACACACACACACACACACACACACACACACACACACACACACACACACACACACACACACACACACACACTTTTTGTTTTAGTGCTTCCACATAAACTGGTAGATGGAGATGCTCCGAAGGTAGAGATGCTCAAGCAAGAGGTAGTAGAGGAGCCCGAAAGTGATGAGGTAGAAGGGTCGCGAATGAAGGTTTATATGAAATATGCTATAAGGTACTTGAAATGCTCCTGCAACTGTGCTCATAACGCTCAGATGCTCTGCAAGTCATGCTCTGATGCTCCACCACTCATGCTCAACCAAGCTTGCTCACCACGCTCACACTTCATGCTCCCGCAACTCTGCTCATCGCGCTCCGATGCTGCACAGTGCATGCTCATATGCTCTAACACTCATGTTCCGAACCTTCTCCATGCTTTCGTCCATCATCATGCTCGACATGTTCCATCACCATGCTAAAATGACATGCTCACGCAATGCTGCTCAGCTGCTATTCACAACACACAAGCTGAAAGCATCACGATCCACTCAAGCTTGATGGGCTCGAGGTCTTCTGGGGTTTGGGGTGTGTCATGCTCACGGCATCAAGAATTCACCCACATGCCAAGCAAAATACGAAATCCAGGTTGAAAACTGCGTTGTGGTTGAGGTAGTAGAACAACAGCGAGGATGGTACCAATGCACAGCGTATGTTACAGGATGTCTATAACCATCACTGCAGGTGCGTCAACTCCGCGTCCGGAGTTGATTTCACCACCATTGGTCAGTGTCTTCGTTGGCAGGAGACTGACCAAGGTGCTCCTGCCCCCTGCTTGTTCACGAACCCGCATGTACAGCGGTGTGCCACACACACCCCTTTCGGGGCTTCAAGTTTCTATGGCACCAGGTAGTTGAGGTCGGCGTGTTTGTCTCCAACGTGGTTGTACTCGTGGTCATGTCGAATGGGCGTTGAGGTACTTGAAGACCTTGACGTGCTGCTGTTGGGGCTGTTTGTGGACGTAGAAGATGACGGTGTCGAGCTGGATGGACTGTTGCTGGACAATGTAAAGGTGGAGGGCGTTGTGTTGGATGACGTATGGGTGGACGAAAAACTCGGCATTGACGAAGTTGACGTTGACGTGGACGAACTGGAGGCGGAAGTGCTTGACGTAGTGAGGGTGTAATGTTACTACCGGAGGATGTGGTAGTGCAGGAGGTTGAGGAGCTGGACATTGAGGTGCTTGAAGAGCGCGTTACGCTATTGCTGGCACTGCTGGTGGACGTAGAAGAGGACGGCGTCGAGCTTGGCGAGCTGGTACTCGATGATGTAGAAGTCGAGGGCGTGGTATTCGATGACGGAGATGCGGACAAAGTAGAGATGCTGGACGTTGATGTGTTGGGAGAGCTTGTCATGTTATTGCTAGCGCTGCCTTGTGAACATGGAAGATGACGATGTTGATCTCGGTGAGCTGGTGTGAAATTCTGGTGGACATTCTTTTCAAAGCTGAAGGATTGCAAGTTGCTAGACTTGGCTACATTCTCCAAGCTCTGCCTGAACATGTTGCCGAAGCTCAAGAACTGCAAGTCATCAGGCAAGACTACTTTCTCCAAGTTCTGGTTGGACCTATCGAAGTTCTCGGATTGCATGTGGTCGTGCAAGGCTCCCTTCTCCAAGCTTCATTTGGAGTGATTCCCAAAGTCAAGGAACTACAACTACAAGCTGCCACGCAACGCGCCATTCTCCAGGTTTTACGAATGATCCAGCAAGGCCATGTTTTTTCAAGCACTGGTAGAAAACACTACCGAATCAAATGAACTGCAAGCTATCAGGCCAAGGCCGCATCCTCAAAGCTCTGCGTGAACTAATGGCAGAAGCTCATGCACTGCAGGTTATCACGCACGGCCACATTTTCAACGTTCAACACGCTGTCAAGGAAGGCCACACTCCAAGCTCCAGTTGTAAACCCTGCCGAATCTCAAGAACTGCAAGCTGTCAGGTGAGGCCACATTCTCCTATTTCTGCGTGAGCAAATTGCAGAAATTCAAGGGCTGCAAGCTGCCGTGCAGGGCCACATTCTCGAATGCCTACAAGCGGTGAAGCGAGGCCACGTTCTGCAAGTTGTGGTTGCAAACACTACCGAACCTCAAGGACTGCAAGCTGTCAGGTAGGGCCGCACTCTCCAATCTCTGCGTGAACAAATCATAGAGGCTCAAGGACACTGCAAGCTGCCACGCGAGGCCACACATTCTCTAAGTTCCACAAATGGTCAAGCAAGGCCACGATTTTCAAGCCCTGGTTGCGAACACTATCAAATCTCAAGAACTGCAAGTAGTCAGGAAAGGCAACATTCTCCAAGCTCTGCGTGAACAAGCCCAAAAGCTCCAAGGACCACAAGCTGCCACGCAAGGTCACATTCTCCAAGCTCGGCCTGAAGCGATTTGCGAATCTCAAGAACCGCAAGCTGTCAGGTGAGGCCGCATTCTCATATTTCTGCGTGAACAAATTGCAGAAATTCAAGGACTGCAAGCTGCCGTGCAGGGCCACATTCTCGAATCCCTACAAGCGGTCAAGCGAGGCCACGTTTTGCAAGTTGCGGTTGCAAGCACTACCGAACCTCAAGGACTGCAAGCTGTCAGGCGGGCCGCATTCTCCAATCTCTGCGTGAACAAATCATAGAGGCTCAAGCCAGCCACGTAAGGCCACACACTCTCCAAGTTCCACAAATGGTCGCGCAAGGCCACGTTTTTCAAGCCCTGGTTGCAAACACTATCAAATCTCAAGAACTGCAAGTAGTCAGGAAAGGCGACATTCTCCAAGCTCTGCGTGAACAAGCCCAAAAGCTCCAAGGACCACAAGCTCACATTCTCCAAGCTCGGCCTGAAGCGATTTGCGAATCTCATGAACTGCAAGCTGTGAGTGCGGAAGCTCAAGAACCGCAAGTTGTCACGCAAGGCCACATTCTTGAAGTTCAACAAGCGGTCAAGCAAGGCCATGGCTGTCAAGCACTGGCGGTAAACGTTATCAAAATTAACATCTGCAATCTATCAGGCAAGGCCACATTTCCTGAGCTTTGCAAGAACATATTGCAAAAGCCCAAACGCTGCAAGCCACCACGCAAGGTCACATTCTCAACTTTCCACAAGCGGTCAATCAAGGTTGCGTTTTGCCAAGCGCTAATTGCAAACACCACCGACTTTCAAGAACTGCAAGCTGTGAGGCACGGCCACATTCTCTAAGCTCTGCTTGAGCAAAAACCAGAAGCTCAAGGACTGTAAGCTTCCACTTAAGGCCATATTGCTCAAGTTCAAGAAGCAGTCAAGCAAGGTCACGTTTCTCAAGCTCATATTGCAAACGTTACCGAACCTCAAGAACTGCAGGCTGTCTGGCACATCTCGAGGTGCATGAACTGCAAGTGGTCAAGCAAGATCAAATTCTCCATGCTCGGGTTGAAGCGATTCCTGGAGCTTCATGACTGCAAGCGGTCGTGCACAGCCACGTCCTCCAAGTCTTGGTTGAAGGTTTCCCCGAATCTCAAAGACTGCAAGCTGCAATCTCCAAGCTTTGTTTGAACACAGCGTTGACGTTCAAGGCCTACAAGAGGGACTGCGAGCTGCCAGCCAAGACCATCATCTCTGGTTGAGGTCCCGACGCCACCAGGGCGTCGGCACGTGCGCAATGGAGATCGAGTCCCATCCCAGGCCGAGAATGCCGTCGAACTTGCCCAGGCGGCGGCCCGAGCCCAAGCCCGACGTCTTGTCCACCTCTACAAAGGTGCAGTCCTTCAACTTCAAGTTGCCGATGGTGATGTCCTTGCCGCTCAAGGTGAAGGTAAGGTCCGGCAGCTCGGCATTGCAGTCGACAACATACTCCTTGCCCAGGATGGACTTCGCACCCAGCTTCGCGGCTCGGGCTTCCCACTTCTGAACGCCCATGTTCACCGAGTCGAGGGTCTCCTCAAACGTGAGCTCCTGCTTCTGAAGGGGCACGCGATTGGCGACGCCA